CCTTGGCCCAGCGCTGAGTACTATAAATACCCTCTCTCATGCGAGGGTCAGATATTCATTCATTCACACCTATATACTCACTTGCTTGCTCATTTCGTCTCTCATTTTACCATCGGAGTGTCTTACAGGTATCCCTCCCCATCTCCTTCAAATCCAGCCCGAAACCAGCTGTGACGGTCCAACTCTGATCAATTACGATCAATTATTATTATTATTATTATTATTATTATTATTATTATAATAAAATATTTATAGAATGATTTTATTTTTTATGTATCAATTTTATAAATTAAAATTTTATCAAATCGTAACATATTATTTTGTAAAATAAACAACAAAAAAAACAGTTTTTTAAATTTTATTTTAACTATATTGTCTTATTTAATTAGCTTGACAAAATTATGTTAGCGTATCAGAAAAAATCTCTTTTTATAAATAAAAAAAGTAAAAAAGTAATATAAAATAATTGTATTAATCAATTTTGATTATTGTGGTGTTTTAAAAAATAATATATTAACTACAATTACAAACGATGTTAAAATATAATTAATATATTAAAACTTTAATCTCAATAAATTAGAGAATGGATATCTACTCAATACACACATAGATTAAATATTATCGAAATTAAATTAACTGTAGTAATTTTGACACAATCACATGGTTATATTTCTTCTTTCATTTTATAGTTGTATTATCTCATGTATTATATATTTAGTATAATATAGTTTATTTAATTTTCTTCTTCTTAATATATGAGTTATGATCGAGATATTTTTTATACAAAAATGTTATAGGGAAAAAAATTTGTTATTGATATGAATATTTTTATATTCAAAAATTTACTGTTGATCTAGATATTTTTGTAAACGATAGTTAAATAAAAATAATACTTATATACGGGATACAATTTATTATTGATCTAAATATTTTTATATACGAAAAATTGTATTTATGATCCAAATACTTTTAATTCAAAAATGATATATGAAAGAAAAAAATTATTATTGATCTAAATATTTTATATACAAAAATTTACTATTTATTCAGGTATTTTTGTAAACCATATCTAAACAAAAATAATATTTATATAGGGAAAAATCTATTATTATTCTAAATATTTTTATATACGAAAAATGATATTTATGATTCAAATATTTTTTATTAAAAAATTGTATATGGGAAAAAATTTATTAATGATCTAAATATTTTTATATATGAAAGTTTACTATTGATACAAATATTTTTGTAAACGATACATACACAAAAATAATACTTGTATATGGAAAAAACTATTATTGATCTAAATATTTTTATATACGAAAAATAGTATTTATAATCCAAAGATTTTTTATTTAAAAATGGTATACGGAAAAAAAAACCTATTATTGATCTAAATATTTTTATATACAGAAATTTACTATTGATCCAAATATTTTTGTAAACGATACCTGAACAAAAATAATATTTGTAAACGAAAAAAAAATTATTATTGATCTAAATATTTTTATATACGAAAAACAGTATTTGTGATCAAAATATTTATGATCTAAAATGATATACGGGAAAAAATCTATTATTGATCCAAATATTTCTACATACGAAAAAATCTATTATTGATCTAAATATATATTTTTTTCTTTTTTAACTTTTTATTTAAAATAAATATATTATGTAAACAAATAAGCGTACCAGAACAAAACTCGTACGTACACACGAGTTTGTTACTAGTTGGTATATATGAGGGGAGGAATGGGGACTTCGAAATTTTAGACTTAGGGTAGGTCTAGAACTATTGTTCCATGATTTGAAATTAAGTCAGACACGCCTTGTTCGTAAAGGTGTTTGTGATTCAGTTTGAATTGACTTTAAGTTAAAAACTCATTTGATTCAAAGATTGATTTTCCTTCCGTTCGATTCGATTTTGGATGATTGATTAAAATTTTTTGATCTGATCTGATCTAATTTCATGTTGTTTTAGTTTGGATATCCAATATACATATTATATTTTATTAAGATTAAAAAATATTAATATATAACATATAGTATGTAAAAAAATAAATATATAAAATAAGAGTGGTTGATTATGGTTGAAAGAAATAAAATAATAAAAATAAATAGATTAAATTAAATTAATAAGTCATAGAATAATAAATTAATACAATATATCACATTAATAAGTGAAAAAAGCAAATATGTATTAAAATATATACACGTGATTCAGTTCGGTTTGGATTGATTTTGAAAAATCAATCTTAAATTTGATTTAAATCGAGCGATTTTTACAGAATGACATCCAAGCACATCCAATAATAATCGTTTTTTTTGCAGTTTTCAATTTTTTTTATCGGTTTGCAATTTTTATTTGGATCGATTTGGATTTGAACACCCTTACTTATTTGTGGCTCTATGTTAAACAGTGGAAAAGGATCTAGGAATAACTTTTTTAAATGCATGCCCACTCATTGAAATGTTTAGCACAATACCTTACGTGTGGCTCTAGGCTCATAGGTTAATGTGTGGCGCATCGGCCTAGGACATTAGAGTGGACTTAATATACTTATGATTTATAGGTGTCATTTTAATCATTAACTATTAACCTTTCACTCCCATACGTTCTATGATGTTTATTCTTTCCATTCTTTCTTATATAAGGATCGGTCTGATACTTTAAGCAACTTTTGTTTCCTTTCGTGTTTGCCTATGTTATTTTTGTTACCTCTTTTCTTCTTCTTTTCACATTTTGATGATATTTATTTTCAGTTGCACTTTCCTCTGCTAAGGTTCTCCCATTATCGATCTTTTTCTGCTTCAACTAGTCTGTTCAGTTTCATCTTCTTTTCTAGGTATTGCTCTTACCTTGCCCTTCACATTTTATCCTTTTAATGTCTTTCATGTATTTGAGGTATTGCTCTTCATATTTTATCCTTTTAACCTATGGAGTGTGCATGTAAATGTGAATGGAGTTGGTGGAGGTGACTCTCTCATTCAACCATTTACGAGATTTTTAATATCTCTCATGACAAAATCTTGGAAGTCAATAGTGTCGCATCATGAAAAATACTCGAGTGCAACGCATGTTCAAAATACGTCAGAGTCGTCACCGAACTTTATTTATTCCAAAAGAAAAGAGAGAATATTGATAAAACCCTTAATAAACGAAATTATGATCGTCGCAACCAAATTCGAGTTTGGGAGTCGGTTATACAAAGAGAATATATTAGAACCCCTCACATTTGTTGTACTCAATTGGACTCATTTAATTGGTTTTAGGAAAGAGTGTTAGTGCGATGTTTACTTGTAATCTTCTACTTATTGCGAGAATATTTATAAGAGAAAGGAAATGGGCAATTTTTAGGCTTTGTTTGGGAGTTTGTTGGAGAGGGAAAGGGAGGGCTTTGAATTTTTTTTTTAATATAGAGAAATTGTTCATATTTCTTGAGAAAAAGATTTTATTTAGAATGATAAAATAATGTTTATGATTAATGTATTTTTTAATTTTTGAAATATTATAACAACAAAAAATATATTTGAACAATTTATTTAAGCCCTTTAAAACCCTCCTCCAATACAAATTTCAAGTTTCCCCAAATTACGAGGTTTTGGTGGTATGAAGAAAAACAAACCCTCCAAAATCCTCTCAACGAAAAGCTTTATATTCTTTTCACCCAATCTTTCCTATTTGTCAAAGCTCTCACTTCTCTTCCCCTCCAAACTCTAAAACAAAGCCTTGGGCTTTTTTATTAATATGCTTGAAAAAATTTCAAAATCTTACTTTTACGTATCCCTAGGTGCGATTGAGAACTCAAGGCTACGTAGTTCTTAGTAGAAAGAATTTTGTTTGTTGGCTGATTTTAATTGTGTAAATAAGTTTAGTCGCACTTGGATAGAAACAGACTCGTTGATTAAAAGATTTGCGCTTAGGTGAAGAAAGTTATTTAAAAAAAGGACTTGTGCTTGGGCAAAGAAGTTATTTAAAATGAAAAAGACTCGCGATTGAGCAAAAAATAAGTTTGATTGGTTGAGATTGATTTTAGGCAGGAGACGAGTGTTTGAACTGTTTCGTTTAAGGAAACAAGAAAACAATGATAAGATTGTACATAGACACATACATATTTCTCGCGAATTATTTCGCTCTTTGACTCGGGTACTCCAGTTGTGTGGAGATAATGTATAAATTTTGAGATTGTTGCACCATAAATTTTGCCCCTAAATTTTTAGTTACATTATTAAATCATATTTTTTATTTGATCACAATCATCAATAAACATCTTCACTCATCATGTTTTGCATCGTTAGTCGTATTTAAGTTGTCCAAAAGTCATTTTAAATCGACGTTTGCATCGTGTTATAGTTGAAAAATATATGTTATTTCACTCCATGTATTTTTATCTCTTTACTCACTTTTCGCATTTCTCCAAGTTGTGTATATATCAATAATATTGATATTTTGGTTTTACAGACAGATCGTTAAAAGCGATTCGACATTGTGCGGAAAATTAGCGAGAAAATATTTCAAGTTTTCACTTTTTACTGATTGTTTTGTGAATCTACATTTCGCGTAGGTCATGGAGGTATACTCGCTTTATTTTTTTGGTACAGTTTGAAGTCTCGTTCTTAACCATAAGCGTTTGTTCAGCCTGATATTTTTATTATCATTTTATTTCGATTTTGACCATTTGATTAATTTTTTATTAATCTTTGTGACCTGTAGTTTATTTTAATGTATTCATTCCATTTTTTCAGATAATTTAATATCTATTTTTTTATCATTTTTAATCATTTTTAGATCTCTATTTTTTATTCAAAAAAATTAAAATAAAGTTATTTTAAATTACATTAATTTTTATACTTTCAGATTTTTGTGTTATTTTTTATCAATAGAGACATTTTTGCCATTTGAAAAATTGAGAAAACCTAAATTAATTTGGTATAAATAGAGACCTGTTAGGGGTAGCAGCAGATCAAATTGAAAAAACAGAGACAAATCCATTCCATATTCACCACCCATCTATTATCTCACTGTGCTCAATACTCCTTCTTCTCTTCAATTCCAGCTTCTGCAATTTCAATTTCTCAAATCAATAATCACTATTCTGCCCTTCCACTCACGTTGCAGACAACGCATATACTCCTATGTACTCTTCAAAACCCATTACTTTGTTCATTATTCACCATCATCCACGAACCAATCTACTTCTATCACACTTCATTTCACCTCCATTAGCTTCTCTTACAGAAAACCCATTACACAAATATAAACTCCTTCAATTTCGGACAACCCAACAAACCACCATACCACCTTCCTTTCTGTCAATTTCCGGTCAGCAATAACCTCTCCATCGTATCCCACCATTACTACCTCACAACTATCACCACCAAACTCGCGATACAACCAACCCAGTGCCATCATCCGTTCACGAACCCAGCTGTGTACTCCCTCCATAATTTCACGATACTATAACCTCCCTTTCATTACTTGATTCTCTTTTGAGTTTCTATTATGTATTTAAAATGTGAATATAATTTGTTAGACTTTTTTTTTTTCTATTTTTTTTCCTATGTGTGAGCTATTTGTTTTACTGATCCATAGTTTTGAAAATGCATATTTCCTTTATTTTGTCTTTTATCTGATGCCACTTTTGTTTAATATTGGACAATTTTCATGTTTTTAAATGAGTCAAAATAATATGGTATCGTGTGGATCATTGACACATTAGTAAGATCCTCTACTAGTTTCCATTGATTTTATTTATTTATTTTTATTTTATAATATTTGGTTTCTTAAGAGGTTTTGGTATTATTTGGGCTTACGTTTTTTTTTCTTACTCATTACTACTAAAACATCTCTTTTTTATTCTAGTTTTTTCTAACTTTCTTTCTTTTATTTTAAGATTGAATGAAATTCTAATTTGGACATTTAATTAATTGACTTTCAATTGATGAATTAATTGGTGGTTAATTATCCAATGGGTTTAGAGTCATTAATTTACGGCTTATTAATTTTGTAGTTAATTTTGCCACTTACTTTGTTACTTCACAGTTGAAAGTTAATTGCTAATTTGATTCATGTCTTGTGTTACTAACATTTTTATAGTTTATGAAAGATATTTGTTGGATTATTTCTCTATTATCCTGGTTTTGTCAGTTTGTTTGAAATTTTATCTGATACAGGGGTTCATACTCGATATTTGGAGTTCTTATCCGATGTTTTGAGCTTTAAATGATACATTGTGCTTATCTGATACCTTGAGCTTACCTGATGCACTTTTCTGACTTGTGATTTATTTTCACTTGATGCGCTTTATTCGATGCTTTGAGTATTATCTAACAACTTGGGTTTCTTTGATGCTATCGGCTTATGATTTATTTTCACCTGAGGTTTGGTATATGTGATACGGTGGGAGAACTGACTTGAGGTTTTGCGTTTGTTTTCGCACTTGTTCGGTTTAACAAGAGTCGCCATCGACTTTTTATTTTATCCTAAGGAAAGGTCAAAAAAGCACAGGAAAGACCTTTGAGATGTTTTCGTGGGTTCGGGGGGTAGATTATGAAAAGGGAAGGTGCTAGCACCCTTTTCATCCATGGTTATCCATGGGCTCTTAGTTACTTGTTTTAGATCACTTGCCTTTGCTTTTCAATTGTTTGAAATGGTGCTTTGTGTGTGTGGTTTTGAAAAATATTTTGAAAAAGATGCCTTGTCTAGGCAACCATTGTAATGACTCTTGTTTGAGTATATACAAAGGTGTGTGTCTTTTTGAAAAGATAATTCAATGTTTTGTTTTGAAATTGTTTTTGAAGTTGTGTTGTGATGTGTGTTTGAAAGTTGGCAAGGATGTTTTGCAAGATTTTTGATCAAGTAACTAAGAGTTGTCTCCCCTATTTTACTCAAAGATTTTTCTCATGTTTTAACCCTTTTAACAATGTTGTTTCACCATTGTGTTTGGTGAACAACCTTGCGTTAGGATGTAAAACGGGACAGGCGCGGGTCATCGTATACAATCATTGAAGGCAACTTGTGAGGCGCTCTAGCAATTTTGTAAGGGACGAGATCATTTTATCGAAGGAAACATCGAGGGTCATCGAGGGACTAACGATCTTTGTTTATCGAAGGGACATTTGCTAGAGTGTCTCATACTCGAGGGACATGATTGCATTTTTCCGAGGCAACAAGCGAGGCTATCCTAGAGGTGCAAGTGTGAATTGTGTATTGATTTTCATGCATTTATCTCGTATTTGGTTATCTAGCGGTTGATTTTGAATCTTCGCATACAAACCCTAATTACTATACAGTATATGAAAAGCGATAAATTGCAGGAATTTAAAGTCTAAGCTATTACAAATAAGTATCCGGGGATGGGGGTACAAATGTTTACAAATGGGGATGAGTCTTATCAGAATAGTAGTGTCCAAGTGTTATTTACAACCAAATCGAATCGTTGCATTCTCAATGTAAAAATATAGCAAGGTATAATAATCAAAGAGAATCAAAAGTATTTGTGAAATGCATATGATTATTTACAAATGATCAAAATATTAACCTAATGCAAATTAAGTATTTTTATTATTTTTGTATTTTTGTTAGTTTTATATAAACAAAGGTTTCAAAGAAAGAATATTTTAAATTAATAAAAAAAATCTATTATTTGCATATTTTGTTAATGTTATTTAGGAATTTTTTATAAAAAGATTTATTAAACAAAAAAAAGTTTTAAAAACAAAATATATTATTTACATGCTTTTAAATGTAAAAAATAAAAAAAACTATTAAGAGTATTTTGTATAAAAGTTAATATATTTTTATTTAACAAAAATAGGTTATGTAAAGTATGGTAATATCAAAAATGTTTTCAAAACATAATAATAAAAGAAGTGGGCTTTAAAGGGTGTGTTTGGCCCAAATGAAAAAAAAAAACAAAATATCAAAAAGGGGGTGCAAGCGCCAGAATTATGGGCCTTGGGGGTTTGATGGGGCAAAAGCCCAATGTCATTTGACAAGGTTTTTGTTGTTAGGGTTTCAATTGTTTGGCTCAGAATCCAGGGTTTCACAGTTTGGAACGGCGCCGCTCCTCTCCTTTCTTCGTCCTCTTCATCCTTTCTCAAACAGGACCACTGATTAAACTCTCTCCTCGCCTCAGGATACCAGGGCGATACCTCCACCTCCTCCCCCTCATGGTTGTACCAGGAGGTGATAAAAAAAGGGTATCAATTTTCTTTTTCATGTTTTAGGGTTTTCAGATTTTTTTACTCTTGCATGTTATTAATCTTTGACACGTTTTGATCTTCTGTGTTATTTGTGTTTGTGTGAGGTGTAGGAAGAGGAGACAATACCTTTAGGTTTTTGTTTTTGGAGGAGGCGGGAGGTTGGACGACGACGCTCTCAGGTGGCCGGAGGTGGGGAGCTTGTGATGTTGCTTGCTGGCTTCCTGGTACTTCGTATATTTTACTTTGAATGGTTTTATGATGAATCTGAAAACCCTAGAATGCTGAGTTCCTCTCTTCTTCTTCTGAATGCTGGATATCTTTTGATGATGATTTTATTTCTGAGATGCCAGTACCTTCTTCTGATTTTCTGAATATTGGCTTTGGTGATGATGTTATTTCTGATGACACTGTATTATTTTACTTCTGAGTCTTCTCCTCTCTTTGGATTTTTGATGATTCTGAGTTGGTGTTTTTGCCTATGATGAACTTGGTTCTGAGGCGTTTGTTGTTTGGTTTTGGGATTAAAGGCAAGTTTGCTTTTGATTTTAGGAAGGCTTGGCTTGTTGGTATTTGCAGTTTGACAGGTTTTTAGGCAGGCTTGAAAGTTTGCTTGAAGGCAGGTTATGCTGTGCTTGCTTGAAGGCAGCTTTGAGGCAAGCTTGTGATGCTTGTTTTTCTGGTATAGGCTTACTTCTGGTTTGGTACAGATTGGAATAGGTTTTTAGCAGGTAGGCTTGAAGCAGGCTTATTATGCTTACTCGTTTGGTTTGAGTTTGTTTATGCAGACTCTGGTTTGAAACAGGTTTTTAGCAGGTAGGCTTGAAGCAGGCTTGTTATGCTTGCTCGTTTGGTTTGAGTTTGTTTATGCAGGCCCTGGTTTGAGGTGTTTAAAGTTTGAACTGGTTTGAAGTTTATGCAGGCAAGCTTTGTTGGTTAGGCAGGCTTGGATACAGGCCTCAAGGCTTGTGTTTGTGTTTGTGTTTGTAAGTTTTGAGGGCTTTGATACAAGTTTGAATGTTTTATGCAGGTCTGAAGGTTTTTTGTTACCTTTGCTTGCAGTTTTACAGTTTGTATTCTTTTTGCTCTATGTGTTCTCCCCCTTTTCTGAACTGAACTCTTGTTATATTTATCTATTCTTTCTTCCTGCTCTGCATAGCCTGCCAAACTGTAAAGCCCACTTCTCTCTCTTTCTCTCTCCATTTAAAAAGCATATTTTATTGCTTAATATATCTTTTTTCTGAAAAGGTGTTGGCCTGGAAAATGATGAAGAGGTGCTTTTACAAGCTTGCTTGCAATTTGGTTTTCCTCTGCATATTTTCTTATCTTCCAGATTTTCTGCATTGCCTTTTGTGTACTTGTATGCAGCTTTTCTGTTTGATAGCTTAGTTGACAATTTGGTTGACAGTTTGGTTTGCCTAGTTTACACTTGTGACTTGGTTTGTTTTATTTGCAATTTGGTTTGGCATTTCAGTTTGCTACTGTACAGCTTGGTGAACTTTTTATGCAGCCTTGTGCCTTCTTTGTGTTTGATTGTATGCTTGCTAAGAATAATTTTACTTTCCTCTTTGTGAACCAAGAAGAGAAATCTTCTTGTGATTTGCAAAGAGGACGAGTAAAACATGATGAAAAACCAAAATAATCTGATTCCGCCCAACAACCTTTAATGATGAACTTTTATTTATCTGTCTGAGAATGCCTTTTTTAATTCATCTATACTGATTTCTTTTTCTGTCTTTGCAGGTAAATACCAGTTGGGGCAAGGGAAGCAGCAGTAGAAGATGAAGACTTCAAGAGGCTTAGAAGATAGTTTTATTTTATTTTTAATCATTGTAATAAACATTATTGTAAATACTGTAAATAAATTTACTGTATTCAAATAACACTTGTAACAACAATTGAAAATGAATAAAAAATCTTTTGTCAGATAATTCTTTATTTCTTCTGCATTTGTTTATTTAATTATTTAAATTTCTTGAATTATAATAATTGGAAATGCATCCCAATAATTGTAACTCAGATAATATAAATAATCAACAAATGTCGCAGTCTTACAGCCTCGCATTAACCAACAATACGCCCGGCATTCCAAATAACCAAAAGCATTGCACAGTTAAACAAATAAACGTCCACACGCCTTTTACCTCACTGATCAAACTAAAGCTTCAAACTTTCAATCAGAAGCCTCAGCTTATATCCCAGATGTTTAGACTTTGAGAAACAAACAGAAATATTGAACAAGCG